TTTAGAGAATAACATAAGTTATTTCAAATAATCAATCCCAAACACCCCTTACTCGTTTCTCTGATTTTAACTTAACAACCAAAAAGATGGTGAACGAAAACTATTACATCCATTTTTTCCACTGAAACAAGGTCTCAAATCCCTTTACGATCACGTAACTTCTCAATTTTCAGGTATTGATTCAAACACTTAAAAAATACTGTGAACATCTCCTTTTGAGTTGGTTTTTTTACTGAATTGCCACTAGGCTTTAAGTTTGCCTAATGTATATTTTATATATATATATATATATATATATATATGTGTGTGTGTGTGTGAAAGGCATATTATTGACATGACAATGAAACAAACATCATGTTTTCAGTGAATGCAGTCATTATATATTTTAAACAAGTTTGAAATAATAGATTACTGATATATAACCACGTTGAATATAATCTTTATTTTGTGAGATAAATGAAGATTATCATATTAAAATACTAGAAGAGTACTCGCACAATGCAGCGAGACACATATCGATTTTAATGTTCTATTTTATTCTTTTGTTTTTGTCGATGTTATAATACGATTTTATGTGTTTTTAAAAAAGCAATAATGCTGTTATTTTTGAATAAAATATAAATTTGAAGATATCATAGAAATTTGAAAAAAAATATATCAATGTTAACATCAAATCAACTATTTAAAAGTTCTATTTTTATGTAATTATTTTATTTTCTTACTTATAATTTAATTTAAGTTTAATAATGAAATAATTTATTTTTGGCTTAATAATATAACATTTTATAAAGATAATAATTAAGTATTATGTTAGAACTCAATGATTATCCTAATTATATTTTAGATTTTTTATATTTAAAATGAAATGTTTATCTTGTATTTGATTATGTTTATCTGTAGTTAGTTACACGAATTCAGATATTAAGCTTTAATAAGTTGTACTTACGCACAATCTACTTGTAATATTGAGTTTTAAGTAACATGCATTAATAAACACTACTTTATGCATAAAAATGGTTTTTAAGAGTTTTTTGTCAAATGTTTTATAATATAGTATAAATATAAGATAAAACCAAACAATTTGTTTAATTTTAGTTTACCAGTTTATCAAACACCCCTTAATCTATACTATATTATAAAACATTTGATAAAAACTCTTAAAAACCATTTTTTATGCGTAAAGTACTGTTTAATAACGTATATTATTTAAAACTCAAGATTGCAAGTAGATTGTGTGTAAATACAACTTATTAAAGCTCCATATCCGAATTCGTGTAACTAACTGCAGATAAACATAATCAAATACATGATAAACATCTTATTTTAAATATAAAAAATCTAAAAATATAATTAGGATAACCATTGAGTTCTAACATAATACTTAATTATTATCTTTATAAAATGTTATATTATTAAACCAAAAATAAATTATTTCGTTATTAAACTTAAATTAAATTATAGTAAAAAAATAAAAGAAATTACATAAAAAATGAGAACTTTTAAATAGTTGATTTGATATTATCAAATTTATATTTTATTCAAAAATAATATCATTATTGTTTTCATAAAAACACATAAAATCGTATTATAACATCGACTGAGACAAATAATAAAATAAAACATTAAAATCGAGATGTGTCTCGCTACATTGCGCGAGTACTATTCTAGTTTATTATTATAGAATGGTACTCGCACAATGCAGCGATATACATTTTTTTAATATTTCGTTTTTTTTCGTCTGTTATATAATATGATTTATGTGGCTTTGAGAAAAATAATGTTTTTATTTTTGAATAAAAATATATTTGAAAAAAATATATCGATATTAATATCAAATTAACTATTTAAAAGTTATTGTTTTTTATATAATTTATTTAATTCTTTTTTTTTTATTATAATTTAATTTAGATCAAATAGTGAAGTAATTTATTTTTGACTTAATAATAATTTATTTTATAAAGATAATGATTCTGTTGGAACTCGATAATTATCATAATTATATTTTAGATTTTTATATTTTAAAATGATATGTTTATTCTCTATTTGATTATGTTTATCCGCAGTTAGTTACACGAATTCAAACATGAAGCTTTAATAAGTTGTACTTATGCGTAATTTACTTGTAATCTTAAATTTGAAGTAACATGCATTAATAAGCAATACTTACATAAAAAATGGTTTTTAAGAGTTTTTGCCAAATACTTTATAATATAGTATAGATAATACTGATATCAAAAGCCTCACGTCATTAACATATTTGCTGCTTTACTGCAATAACATAATGAAGTAACTGACATAATTATTTAACTGTGATTTTATATATCCAAATGTACCTGCTTAAGCCTAATGTTCTGTTTATTACAATAATCAACTATAAATCAAACACAAAGACTCCGAACAAATCACTGCTCAAAACCCGCCATCCAATTTTGGTTATATTTTTTTGAATCCTATTATCTTGATGACTTTTCCGAAGTGGATAATAATTTAGGCAAGATGTATCTCAGCTAGAGATGGCCAAATGGGCCCGGCCCGGGACCGCCGGAGGACCGGGACCGGGACCGGGACCGACAAAGGACCGGCCCGGGACCGGTAAGGACCGGTTATGGGACCGAAAACCGGGACCGGTTGAGGTTTTTGGTAGTTTCGTGGGACCGGGACCGACCGGGACCGGTTATGGGACCGACTATGGACCGGCCCGGCCTGGCCCGAAAATTCAATTAATTTTATAAATAAATGTATTTTTAAATAATTTTATAATGTATTTTTATAAGAAAACGTAATTTTAATTATATTAAAACGCATTTTTAAAGTGTATTTGAGTGACCCAATTGTAAATTTTATAATGTATTAAAAATATATATCATTAAAAAAATAAAATAAAAAATCTTATTTTTTTAATGAAGGACCGGTTGGGACCGGGACCGGCGGCCCATAACCGGTTATAAAGTACCTATACCGGTCATATCATTTTCGACCGAGATCGGGACCGGTTACGCTGGGACCGGTTATGGCCGGTTATGAGAATGGTGAGGACCGATTGGGACCGGCCCGGGACCGGTTTTTGGCCATCTCTAATCTCAGCAGGTTTTAAAATTTTCCATCTATGTCATTATAACCTATTTAACGCTCAGTGTTGGATCTTATGAGGAAGGACCAATATCAGTCTTTAATTAAAATCTCGTAAAAATGTGTTCTTGAAAGATAACAACTTTGTTAAACCAATCAAAAGGAACAAAACAAAAAACAACGTGTTTTTACAAGTAACAAAGAAAAAAAGAGAATCAGACCCTAGAGGTGTGCATCGGACAGGTTCGGGTGGGAAAATCAAATATCCGATCGGATTTCAAATATGGAAATCAAGTCCCAAGTTTTGGATTTTGGGTTGCTTCAGGTTCGAATTTTTTATAATGCATATATATATATATATATATATATCCAATAGATTTTAACGATAAATTCAATCAATTTAGAGGATTGATAAATCGATGATATGCTTAGAAATTTGAAAAAAACACGACTGACTAAGCTTTTTAGAATTTTCAAAAGATAATCAGATAAATAAATATATTTATATAATATTTAAAGTATATATGTGTATATATTTTGGGTTTTCAGATGGATTGGGTGGCTAAAAATAAACCCAACCCGAACCCAAATTTTCAGTTTTCAAATTTCAGGACATTCGAGTTTGGGTTCGAATTTCGGATAATTCAAGTTTTACAAACCCCCTATCAGACCCGCTCCAAAACCCAAAACTAAAAAGACAACCCCAAACAATCCTCACAAACCCAACCACATAATGCTAAAACCGAACACTCGAAGACCCAAGAGAAATAGTAGCAAACAAGCGAAAATAACCCTCCGAACACCCAAAAACCTCACGAAAATGTAACTAAACATCTCTTGAAAAACGACGTTTTAACATCCCAGCAGGTACATGCTTGGATTTGTGTAACTTTTTATTCTTACCCGGTTGAAAAATTTAGATGTTAAAGTATTAAACACTGTTTTTAGTTTGTAAACAATAAACGAATAATATAAAATATTATATTTTAATAAATAAAAGAGTAAACCGCAAATTTGGTCCATTGTGATTTGTTGAAAACAACACTTTTCGTCTATACAATTTTGAAATTATAAGATGACCATGATGAGTTACAAAAATATTCAGGTTTAGTCCCTCTGTCTAATGACCGTTAGAAATTTCAGTTAAAATGAAGGACATTTTCGTTCTTTTATCAGTTTTTTTTGTCTTTTATACAATCAAAATCAACTGTATCATTTTGGTTCCAATATTTTTGATTGGGTAAAAGACAAAAAATCAATAAAAAAATAAAAAAGTCTCTATTTAACGTTCATTAACGGATGAGACATCAAATTCAGACATTTTTACAAACCATATGGTCATTTTATAATTTTAAAATTAAAGAGATGAAAAACGTTATTTAACAAACCATAAGGACCAAGTTTGTAACTTTCAATTCAAACATTTTTGGTCCATTACATTATATAGCCGTTAAGTAACCCTTTTACTCTTTATATTTTCTCCTTCTCCCCCTTTTCTTTATTCCCTTTTTACAGAACAAACCCTAATCCAAATTCAAATAATTCAAAGCGCCATAGACGTTTTTCACCTACACCGACTCAATTTCAAATTTCATCCTCATATGATATCTCACCTACATCTTCAATATGGATTCTTGATATGTGTGTGAGAGAGAGAGAGATTGGGAAAGGGAGGGAGAGATTGAGAGATCTTGAAGACACATTCATTTCCTTTTCTTTTCTTGTTGAACTAAAACCCATGATGTACAACAGCTTGTATTGACTTGTATTTGAGAACAATTTCAGGGGTTGGTCGTAGATTTGGAATAATCTTTCTCACTTCGTCTTTTAGGTATGCACCATATGTTGTCTTTGATTGTTCTTGATCGTTTTCTTTAGTACTCTATTCCTGTTCCTGTTCTTGTTTCAAACTTCTGTTTTTGTTCATCAGAATGTTGAGGGATTTGAAATTCGTGCGCCGGAATGCTGGTAAAAACTCTGATTCAGAGGAACCTGAAAATGTGCCTGTAAATGGCAAACTTCATGAATCATCGGTGTCTCAGATGGGTACCGACTCTTCCTCTAGGCCACCATTGAATACAATTCAAGAACCTGTGCAAAACCCTAGTAAACGTGATCAAGAATTAGGGTTCAAGGGCACAAAAATTGATAGAACACCCACTAAAGTCAATGGTAGTAAACATTCAGAATCCGGGATGCCAATGAGAACTCCAGAAAAACAAGGAGGTCTGGCTAGGAATCGATATGGTTTGGGCTCGGATTCAAGGAATGAGGGGAAAAATGTGAATATGAACACTCCTAGGTCATGCAGAACAGTTGGGAGAGCTGTCAGTTCGGGCTATTCTGAGTGTAATTCTACACAGAATACACCTTCAAAGAGTGTGAATAAACCTCTGAATCCAGGGCTGTCTCATGGAGCTAGTTCAAGGCCTCCTGCTGGTGGAGGTGCACGAATTAATGGTAACTTTGCAGCCTTATCTAGAGGATTTACGAATTCCTATGCTACTGTAAATAAAGCCGAGGTACCCCATTTCGATATGAAAGAAGATCCATCATTCTGGATGGATCACAGTGTACAAGTAAGTTTTCATGTATACATAACATTTATTACTAGTTTCATAAAATTGATATCAATAAGTTTTAGCTTATATGGTTTCTTTTTGTAGGTTTTGATACGAATTCGTCCATTGAACAGCATGGAGATTGCTACTCAAGGTTACAACAGGTGCTTAAAACAAGAAAGTGCACAATGCCTGACCTGGGTAGGGCATCCAGAAACAAGATTTAAGTTTGACCATGTTGCATGTGAAACTATTGACCAGGTATCCAATTCTGTTTGTAAATGGACATGGTTCTTTTAAGCGTTATTTCGAAGAAGACCTTCTCACAGATTTTTTCTAATACATGGCCTTCTGATAGATTTTGAGGCATTCTTGTGTTATGGAGAGACATTTTTTTTGTTTGGCAGTGGGGTTCAAAAAAATGTCAGAAGAAGGTCATGTATTTAAAATAAATCTGTTGAAAAGTTATTCTCCTAAATAACCGGTTCTTTCAATTGCAGTGTGTTACAGAAAATATAAATTTCTGCAGGAAACACTTTTCAGGATGGTTGGTCTACCGATGGTGGAGAATTGCTTGTCAGGATATAATAGTTGTATCTTTGCATATGGGCAGGTAATTTGATATGCAATTGATTATTCTCAAATTCTTTGGGTCTCTAGGATCGCTATTTACTGGGGCATTCAGGTGATAAATGAAGCAACTTTACCTTAAGATCATGTTAATAAGGAGGAAATCTCTCCTTCTTTCTCACATTATCCTTTGTGTACTTGAAATCAATCTAGGAAATTTAGACCAAATAATACATTGCAGAACTTAGAAGTTCGGTAATAGACATAAATTCATTTCATACATGTGTTCTGAATTACTTGTTTATTTATGTAGACAGGAAGTGGAAAGACACATACAATGCTTGGTGAGATAAACGAGCTTGAAATAAAACCTAGTCCATATCGTGGAATGACTCCAAGAATGTTTGAGTTCTTATTTGCTAGAATTCTTGCGGTAATTATTGCATACTTGTTTCTTACATTCTAGATCACACTCTTTTAGTCCTCCATGAGCACTTTCATCTTGAAAATGAATTTTTCATGCCTATGTACAGGAAGAGGAAAGTCGAATTGATGAAAGATTAACATATAATTGCAAGTGCTCATTTCTAGAGATCTACAACGAGCAAATTGCTGATCTCCTTGACCCTTCATCTACAAATTTGCAGGTAAGTTTAGGCCTACAGTGACCTTCCCGTTTCCAAGTATTGCAAAATCTGGTGCTCTTTATTGTGCTAATTGTCTTTATTTTCAGCTAAGGGAGGATGTTAAGAAGGGTGTGTATGTGGAAAATCTTACGGAATATGAAGTTCACACTGTGGGTGATATTCTTAGGCTTCTGAGTCGGGTACGCTACAATCTCTTGATAAAGTTGCAGTACTTTTTTTGTCTATCCCTCTCTCTTATCATGGTTCTGCTTATTGCTACAGGGTTCTGCAAATAGGAGAGTTGCTGCAACAAATATGAATAGAGAAAGCAGTCGTTCTCACAGTGTTTTCACATGCGTAATCGAAAGTAGGTGGGAGAAAGACTCAACGTCCAACCTCCGATTCGCAAGGCTAAACCTTGTTGATCTTGCTGGTTCAGAAAGGTGCTGCTTTCGACCAATATTTGTTTTTTTTAAATATATAATCTTTTTATACAACAAAACTCACACACAGTTCTTGTCTGGTGAGGCTTAAACCTTGAACACTGTTAACCTGGGTACTGCTGCACCAATGACCCTTTTGGTGCATTTTGTGATCAGTCTCATCAAATCTTCCTCTCTTTACTAACAGGCAAAAGACATCTGGTGCTGAAGGCGAACGCTTAAAGGAAGCGGCAAACATAAACAAATCTTTATCTACTTTGGGGTATGACAGCTTTGCTTGGTACCTTTTGCTGTCTTTGTGTTCCCATTTTTGTTAGATTTTGTAATGTGAAAATCTTTGTGTAGTCATGTAATAATGGTTCTAGTAGATGGTGCTAATGCAAGAACAAGGCATGTTCCTTATAGAGATTCAAGATTGACCTTTCTTCTACAGGTGAATAGAGTAAACCTCTTATTTCCATTTGGTGGAAGATTGGGATTTTTTTATTTATTTTTTGAAAACTTGCTAGTGCTTACAACAATATGTTCTGCAGGACTCGTTAGGTGGAAATTCGAAAACAATGATCATTGCCAATGTTAGTTCCTCCATATGGTATGTTTATATAAAAACTTGTGTTGACACTGTCTTCCTTGTTTTCTTCCTGTTTTAAAGATAAACTCACCGTCTTTTCTTTCCATCAGTTCTGCTACTGAAACGTTAAACACTTTAAAGTTTGCTCAGCGTGCAAAACTTATTCAGAACAATGTAAGCAAGTTTCTATTATTGATAAAATGTGGTCAAATTTGCATATTTACTCATGTTCTGATTTTGAAAATTTTCTTCTTGTTTTTCATTATGAAGGCTGTGGTAAATGAAGATGCTTCAGGAGATGTTGTGGCTCTTCAACACCAGATACAACTTCTAAAGGTGATTTTTTTTTTCCTTCTTTTGTAACCTCCAAATTCAATAAAATTGGTTCCATGACCACAAATTTTTATAGTAAGTAACCATCTTTTTTATATAATCAGGAGGAACTTGCTATCCTTAAGAGGCACAATGTATCCAGGTCTTTAACATTTGGTCCAGAAGTCATCGAAGAGACCAGACAAGAACTTCAAATGGACCAACTAAGAGCTGATAATATGCTTGGACATGAGAACAAAATCCTGAGGGTTTCTTCTAAACAGGTATATTAAGTAACATCTAGGCAGCTTCATTGTTTCAGTACTACCTCATTTCACTAATTCACAAGAATTTACAACTTTTAAGGTACTATTTATAGCCGTTACTCAACTAGATACTGAAAAAAATGGCAAATCCTACTTGTTTCACCCATTTGACACATTAAGATTGTGGATGTATTCGGTATGACCTTGTGAATAGAGGTGATTTTGGGTTTTGCTTTCTCTATGTGAGGAGAATTGAATTTAGAAGCCACAAAATGTATACCGAAGGAAATTGGTGTAAATGAATTGAAACCAAGTGATTGTAATCTTTTTGGATTTTCGTCGATTGGTAATTTGACATGGTGCTTTTCATTTACATTTATTCATCCTGTTTCTCAGCTGAAATCCTTAGAGACTTCATTGACTGGAGCCCTGAGGAGAGAGCAAATGTCTGAAACTAATATAAAACAGCTCGAAGCAGAAATACAGCATTTAAACCGCCTGGTAAATTGTTTCTGTGTTTGTCTTATCATTGGACTTTGAGGTTTGTGGGTAACAAGTTGAATCGAACTTAGGATTTTAGGACACTTGTGTTCTTAAAAAATGATATTTGCTTATAGGTTCGTCAAAGAGAGGAGGACAACAAGTGCACAAAGATGATGTTGAAGTTTAGAGAGGACAAAATCCATCGAATGGAGTCTCTTCTTGCTGGCTCAATTCCTGCCGACTCTTATTTGCTAGAAGAGAATAACATGCTTACCGAAGAAATTCAGATGATTCGTGTAAAAGCTGATAGGAACCCAGAAGTGACACGCTTTGCTTTGGAAAACATTAGGCTTCTTGAACAACTCAGAAGGTAGGTCTCAACAACAACAAAATTTTACAATGTTTTATCAGATTGGAGCAACTGGTAAGGTAAGGTTTACTATGTACAAAGTCATCCCTTCCTAGTCCCTGCTTAGGGGTTGTTTGGTTGGTTTTTCATTTAGTCCTGCATGGATAAAGTTGTCTGAGTGGATTAATCTGTATTTAGAGATAGGGAAGGTTTTTGTTTGGGAGAGTTTTTTCATAGATGGAAGGAACATGTTTTTTTATTGGGAGGGGCAGGTTTGGAAAAAAAAAACTTGGCTTTCTACATAAAGCTCTCCCCTAAAAGCTTACTGAATAAGCCACTTTCTATATCATTAATCCACTACCAAACAATCATTTATAGCTGACACAATAAGCTTTAAGTCCCGTTAACCTCATTAAGCTGCTTACAAACAAGCCCCTAGCCTATTGGATTGGTGCATTGGAATCTCTTTTTATTTTGCGAAAACACTTCAATTTTGTCTGATTACCTGTTATCTTCCTATTAGATTTCAAGACTTTTATGAAGAAGGGGAGAGAGAAATGTTGCTGACTGAAGTATCTGAACTGAGGAATCAGGTGATTGTGAATTCTTATGGAACCTAATCCACCTGCTCTCAAATATCTCTATTCCCTTGTTATTTAAATCTTCATAACTAAATCTTCTTTTGACAGTTGGTTCTCTTTCTTGATGAGAACTCCAAGCAAAATCATATGCAAAAGGTAAGATATGTAATTTTGATTTTTAAACCCTCCTATTTACTTATTTTTCTTTAGTTGCTTATAACTTGTGAATGGCTACAGGAACCTGCGCATGACAATATAGAAAACAATTCTCTTCAGTTGGAGGTTGAGCTCAGTCTTTTCTCAGTAAAGTATGAGAACTTATCATCAGTCTAAATTTGGATGTTACATTTTTCTATTCGATTTCAGTTGGAAAAGAGCCAGGAAGAGTTGGAGAAATGCAGGAATAACCTAAATTCTTGCTTAGAGAGAAATGCAAAACTCTGCAGGGAAATTGCGGATCTAAATGCCTTACTAGAAAACCAGAAATCTGCAGTGCGTGACCATGGTGTTAGCGGTGGTATTGAGGTCATAAAGGTAACCCTTCTCCACCTTTGCTGGTATAAAGAAACCGTTACCTTACATGAACAAGTTATTATAATATGCGGTTGAAGCATTTAGTCTGCAATTTGACATAAAGTTTCATTTGAAGAATAATATGTAATGTTCTTTTTCAGGAGCCCATTTTGATAGCTTCTTCTATAGGCGGTCAGTCAATGCATACAATCCAAAAGACGCCTGGAACTTGTTTGAAACAAGTGGAGGTAGATATTCCAAGTTTAAGCTATTATGCAGGGGTCTTTGAGCTTGACTCAGCCCATGCTTTCTTTGGCTGGTAAATAAGATTGGGCTCAGCTTGTGATTGGCCAAGCTTGTAAAGCTCAGGCGCAGGTGCAGACTCAGCTCAAATAAAAATTACAACTAAGCCACTTCAAATAAAAAGCCCCCAAGAGGCTCAGTGTTTGAAAAATATATGACTAGTAGGTCCAGCTTTTAAGGCTCCCAGGCTGTCAACCCGCTATATGAGGCTCAAGCTCAAGTTGGATAGTTAGACAAGCTGGCCCGTCTTGTCAACACCCCTAATTGTAAATCGTGGAAAAATTTGGCTTGACATCTTTGTATTGTAATCAACTAATAATCTGAATATATGGTATTCTTTTAGGAGTCTATATTGGAAGATCCTGTTGGTGATGAGTCATCTCATACAGTTTTAAAGAATGAAACTTCAATGAAGTATATTGAAGATGTTATGGATCATCAACTGGAAGTAGACATTTTAAAGATAATTCTAAAGGAAGAAAGGTCATCTCGAGGGGAAACAGAGGAAGAGGCTTTATGCTTAAGTAGGGATTTGAAATCGACAAAAGAAAAGTGTTTGTTGATAACTAAACAATATAAAGATTTGAAGGAGGAGCTTGAGGAAGCAAAATCTGTCATTGAGGCACTTGAGACTCAACAGCTTATATCTATTAATGAACTGGAAGATCTTAGAAACAGTAATCGCCAATATGCTCAAATCCTGCATGATAAAGAGCTTAAAATTATCTCTATGAACGATAAGATTTCCAATCAAGTATCAAGAGACATGCCACCTTCAACTGAAGCAGAATGCGTGCAAGAAAAGTTGAATAAGATGCGGGATTCTCTTGAAAGAGCTAGGAGAACAAATACGTGGTACAAAACTGACCGTGCATGTCATGCATCTAATGAAGAAGAAATGGATGAAGTTCGGAAGCAAGTTGAGGCTGAAACTGCTGAGGTCATAGTTTGTTTGCAGGAAGAACTTAGCAGTCTTCAGCAGCAAGTACATGACGGTAGCATGAAAGAAAGAGCGATCAAATTGGAGTTGACGCTTTTGGAAGAGAAACTAAAAGTAATGACTGAATGCAATGAGACATTAAGGGAAAAACACGAAGGAAAAGAAAGACAATTGAACAGCTTATCTAAAGAGTGGGACTTTTTGACGAATGAGATTGAGGAGGCTCTTACCATGGGCCATGAGGAACTTGAGGATGCCTCAAATCATCTTGATGCTGTTACAGTGTATGAGCAATTACAGATGATCACTAGAAGCATCTTTGAAAAGGAGTCTCGAATAAAGGAACTCAACTCGTGTTTAGAGGATGCAAGAAACAAAGGCAATGAAATGGAGGACATGTTGAGGGCATTGAGAGGGGCAACTTTGGTTATGGCTGAAGCACACCAACATGACTGCAGTGAAAAGGATCAAGTAATCCGTCAATTATCATCACAGTTGAGCGAGAAAAGTCATACGATAACTCAGTTACATACTGCGATCAAACAAATGGAGGAAAAAGTCAGGAAGGCATCTGTTTGTGCAACTGGTGCATTTGTGATTGTGAACAGATTTTCTGAGATTAAAGATAGCTGTCTTGTAGCACTGGCACAGAAAGAAGCTGAGCTGAATGAATTGAAAAATGGTCACATGGTGAGGGACTTTTGTGAAGCAACGAGGGTAACTTTTCCAATATATATATATATATATATATATATATTTTGTACAAATTTTAAGATTTAGTTTGCATTTTTAGACATTAATTTATTGATTTATCGTTTCAGGCAGGTACTAAAAATAGTCAAGGAATCAACAATAAAGATTTGAATACTTTTGAGGATGTGAAAACAGAAGCACCCCCATGTGATCAGAACAGTTTGTCGAGCCGTAGGAGTTCAAGAGACACGGGTCGCAGGGATGGGACCATTATTCTTCTGAAGAAAGAGCTAGAGACTGCCCTTGGGAGTCTTAATGGAGTGAAAACTGAGATGGCCAGATTACGTTCTGAGAAAGAAGCGGTTCTGCTTTCTGAGAAGCAGAATTGTAAAAGTATTGAAGTCCTTGTGCCACAGGTTCTGACATTACAATCTGTTTTTGATAAATTTGAAAAGCAAATTGGAGTAGCAATGGTTTCGTTGGATCACAAGATACAAACTGTTGAAGAACTTTTACAGGAATCATGCAAATCCTGCATTCAGAAAAGAAAGGTATGCATCTTCTCTATGATTGACATTAAATTTTATTTCCTCCAAGAAATATCACCCACAATCTGGAAAATGGAAATCTATACCCCATCTAAGGAACATTTTTTTTTGCTTGTTATCATTATTAGAAACAACTTGAAGAAATTGATTTTGGTCCACAAAATTCCTTTATTTGTCTTTGTTAAAGGGTATTTTAGATATCTGACAAATAGTCAAAACATGTTACAAACCGTGTCATTAATTGTTGCAATTTTCATTGGGTGGATGAAATATCATACATACAAGAAACATGTTTAAACTGTCTTTCGATATTGTGGTCTCAATTCTTATTTGTGTTGTATATCACTGCATCTTTTCTGTGGTGGCATTATCTTTTCGAATTGACATTATTCTTTAACCACACAGCTTTACGAGCTTGAACTTATGGATGCAAAGGTCAATGCAGCACAGCAAGCAGCAGAATCTTCTTGTGTTCGTGCTAAATTTGCAGAGGCCCAATACACCATCAAAGAAGCGGATGTTATGATCAACGAGCTCTTGATTGCAATTGAAACTATGAAGCTCGACATTGAAGCTCTGAAGAGGAATGAAGTTGCTTTAATGAATGAAAGGGATATGCATAAGGAAAATTATGAAGTCCTTGGACAACGATTTGAAACAGATACTATGGGAATGAAGAAAGAAGTAGAGGAGCTTGAGGATATGATTTTGCAGATCCAGTCATCAGTTGACGAAGATCTGTTGCCAACTGCCTCTGATTTCTTCTGCATGAAGTCTCAGCTTCATGATTCAAGTACGTTAATTCAGTCATGGCTTGAAGACATTTGGTCTGAGATAATTGCGAAGGACTGTGCTGTGTCTGTGCTCCGCGTTTGTCACATGGAAATACTCTTGCAAACGGTAACCGGCCTGAATGCAGAGAATGGTCTCCTTTACCATGGCTTACGTGAATCGAATTCTCTGGTGTCGCAGTTAAGGGAACACAATTGCAAATCAAGAAAAGAGCTAGAAATGTGCAGAGTGCTTCAAGGGAAGTTACTGTCTGACATTAAGAATAGTTTTGATCGTGTTTTAAGGAGTACGGAAGAAACTGGGTTGTTTTCCGTCAAGCTTGACAGTTTTGAGGAAAAGATACTAAACCTACAGCTTCTGGAGGAAGCAATGCTGGAACGATCAAATTATATGGGATCTGAGCTTTGTGCTCTAGTGAAGGAAATGGAAACAATGGATAAAGAAGAAGAGCTTATATCTATTGAAGAGAAGTCCATGGTAGATTTGTTAGCAAAAGAGATTGAGCTTCTTATTGTGTCATCAAAACTAAAACAAATGGATTCACAAAGAAATGATCTTGAGAAAGAGAATAACATGGTTCTTGAAAATTTAAAGGAGAAGATAATTGTTTGCAATGTGGATATGCAATTGAAAGAGTCCATCTTGTTGGACAAAGAAGCCGAGGTTGCCTTTTTGCACAAAGATCTTAAGGCAAAAGAAAAAGCTCTTGAGGTTTCTATGGATCGTAGCTTTGCTCTAGATCAAAAAAGCCGAATGCTTGAAATGTCATCATGCAAGCTTCAGAAGCAGTTGGAAATTAAAAATACAGAGCTGAGAGAAATGAGGTTACATGAGGAGGAGATGAAGGCAGAATATTGTGCTGTTTCTCAAGAGTTGGAGGAGACAAAAACTGTTCTCAAACGACATGATGCTATTAACAGTTTGAGCTCAAAAGAGTGTATTAATTTGTTGAGTACTGTGGATATGAAGAGTAACAGAGTGTTCAGTTTATTAAGTGAGAGAGTTGTCTCACTAGAGCAAAGGTTTGAAGAAATAAACAGAGGTACTGAAAAGATATGTATGGTTGTAGAAGAATTTGAATGTCTGGAAATACTTGCTAAAGAGGTGGCTTCTGAAAACTTCAATTTTAAAACTGAGTTAGACAGGAAGGATGAAGTTCTTGAAGGATTAGTATTTGATCTACGCTTGTTGCAAGAATCCTCCTCCAATAAGCAGGATGAAATTGAAGAATTGGCAGCTTCTTTGGAGGCTTTAGAGAACGAGCTTGATAAGAATGTTCTAGAAGTCCAAGTGCTTGAAGCTCAACTGAAGGAGAAAGTTGGCAAGATCTCCATCCTCGAGGCGGATGTTTCAAGAGAGAGCGAGTTGGTAAAATCATTATTTTCTGAGATCCAGATGCTGACTGAAAATGTGAAAGATGCTTTAAAAGCAAAAGAGATGACTGAGGCGGAGTTGGCAGAAGTAAAGAAGGCAAATGAGAGCTTGGAAATGGAGTTGGTTCAATTGGAAACTGCTCTAGACGAAATGAAAACCTTTGTAGAATCTAGGACAAGTGATTACAACACTGTTAGTTGTAAGAGGGATGCTCTCCATTCCGAGCTTCTGGATGTGAGGAAGGAGTTAGATATGGCACAAGCCCTTGCTGAAGAAAATGAGGCAATTGCTACAGAAGCCAAACAGGTAATTGCATTGTATTTTCTTTATCTTTACTTGACAAAAGACCAACCAAACGGATCCACTATATCCCACTCGGAAGTAGGCTTTCCTAAAGTTGTTAAAGGCTCAAGGCGCACTCCGGCGCAAGGGTGTCCCAGGGCCTAGGCGCAAGCCTCAGGATTGTAAGGCACATCTTAAAACACACACACACACAGTTACACACAACTCAACTATGCTGCAAGTACAAGCCTACACTGCAGCAACCAACAGTACTTTGATAGAACCAAAGGGCCTTTGGCCTAGCGGTATGTGAGTCCTTGGCCTCCTAGGAGGTCAAGGGTCCAAACCTCACCAAAGGTAAGGAGGGTGTATGAGTTTATTTGTTCTATTTTGCCGTATATAAATATTATATACTTAAAAAACAGTACTTTAGAGGCAGAATGGAGAAGGGTTTAAAGCGTGAGCCATGAGGGAGAAAAATTAAAGTATGGATATTTATAGAGAAGGAGGCTTGAAGTTCTAAGGACCGGGCATTTAGTATTAGGGTTTGACTTATTTTATCTTTTTAATAACTCGCTTTTAAGATGTCTAGGAAATGACAAGATGAGAAAACTTATTTAGTATTAAGGTTTGACTGGGTATTTAATCACTCTAAATGAGGCATGCCTAGGCCTACAAGGCGCCTCAGCCAGGGCGCATCGCCTTGGTGAGCCTCGTGAATACGCCTAGCCCTTTTGACTTTGAAGAGCCCAAGAAATTGAGCCTTATGAGCCTCAGAGCCGAGGCACACTTTAACACAACTATGGGGTCTGGGTATCTTTAGTTGACAATCTCATGTATATATTCATATTAATTCTTTCCTTCACTTAAAACTTTTTAGATGGCTGAGACAAGTAGACAGTATGCTCAAGAGAAGGAAGAGGAGGTCAAACTATATGAGAAATCCGTGGAAGAGTTGGAATGTATTGTGAACGTCCTTGAGAGCCAGGTGAGCTTTCTTATTGAAGTTAACATGAAAAGTAGATTGTTTCCTTTTTTCGGAAAGTTCGCAATTTACATCATCCTTTTGCTCATTATCTTTATGGTATTCATTTCGATCTACAAATTGCTTCATCTCGTCTTTTACATGGGAATTTCTGGGATTTGATCGATTTCCTTTAAACCATGTGCTAAGTCAGACATTGTAACTTTTTGAGATGGGGGGAGTACATGTTAGGGACATGCATTTTTTAATGTAATTTGAGATTTATTTCAATTTTTTTTGTATATTTAAGGTTGACATGGTCAAAGGAGACGCTGAAAGGCAGCGATTGCAAAGGGAGGAGTTAGAACTAGAGTTTCATGCCTTTAAACAGCAAATTCACTCCGTCAAAAGTAGTGACTTAGACATGAAAAGGTTTGATAATGTAACTCCTTGATGTACACATTACAACTAATACTATTGATGTGAAAAATTTTCTTTTAAGACCCGGAAAACCTTGGCTGAAGGGTGGGTTGAAACCTCGCCACCCATCAGTTGGCAGTTTTTACTCATGAGGCAAGTTAAGACCTCCATGTTCTATCGAACAAGCTCCCAATTATAAGAGCTTCTCTAAGAATTGATTGCATACTTTTGTTGACACATAACTCTTTTGTCTACAGCCATCTAAATGAGAAAGAGAAATGTCTTCAGGAGGTCCTTCAACGTGTTCAAATTCTCGAGAAAGAGATTGCCACCAAGGATATAGAGGTGCAAGTTCTTTCAGTTTTTCTGTACGTGGCTCAACTTGTACGTAGATGTAGCTCATAACTGTGTTTATTTTCAATTCTTTCACAGATTGTCCAACATAAAGCTCACATTAATGAGCTCAATCTGCATGCTGAAGCTCAAGCTAGAGAGTTTAAACAAACGGTAAGCCAAATCCTGGTTGGTCCTTCCAAGCTCCATCTCAGGAAGAGTCGCTTTAAAACTAGAACTTAGCTTTTGGAAGATTTAGCACATGAACAAAGTACAAATGAACAAAATGTTTCTTTACCAAGCGAATTTTAGTTAAGGATCATAAATTTTGACTTGATATAAGAATTCGAAATGCTACCCTTTTCTCGGGAAGATGAAATATTGCAAAAAGTTGACTCATTTCTGGGATTTATAGGATAGTTTTTCACGTATTCTTTATCTTTTATACTATCTTAACACTGAAAACAGTTTAAGACGTTGGGGGCAATGGCCGATCAAGTTAAACCTGATGCTTCTGCTCCTCACGTCTCAAATTCACCATCAAAGAAACTAGAAAGAAATGGATCAAGGACACGGGGTTCTGGTTCCCCTTTTAAATGCATTGGGATAGGCTTGGCACAGCAAATGAAGTCTGAGAAAGATGAGGAGCTTGCTGCTGCAAGACATAAAATCGAAGAGCTTGAAGCATTGGCTGCAAGCCGGCAAAAAGAGGCATAATCTCCAGATCTTTTCTCTAAAAAATTATTTTTTTTCGCAATTATCATGTCTCATATGCATTTATATTCACAGATATTCACGCTGAATGCAAAATTAGCTATGTCGGGGAGCATGACTCATGATGTGTTGCGTGATTTGTTGGGCATAAAGTTGGATATGACTACTTATTCGGTAAAGCTATAAACTTGTTTTCTTATTGATGCAAAATGTTTTCTGAAGCTTGTAGGTTGATCTTTAATACCCAGTGGTTTGTTTGTGTTAATAGCAGTTGTTAGTGGATGGCCACCAAATCGAGGAAATAACTGAAAAGCGTCAAATTCATGATGCTGAAGGACAATTGAAGGTATTATCACCTATGAACGGCGGCCACTATAACGGTCCTAAGGTAGCGAAATTCCTTGTCATCATATATATACCAATTTCATTTTGTGGGTCCCGTTTGTATGATGCGAATGCGAGGAGGGTAAAAATGGAATTATACAAGTGAGATTTCTTTATTCTTGCAGGAAGAGGAAGTTAGCAAGCTAAAACAACAATTGAATGAGTTGGTCATGGAGCGAAAAGGGTAAACAACCATGCATTCGGGTTTAGATTCAAGGAGAATATTTCCATTTTGTACACATCTTAAGCTTTTTTACGTATTCTTAAAACTAGATGGCTGGAGGAAATTGAAAGGAAACAGGCTGAGATAGTTGCTGCACAGGTTCTATTGGAACAACTCCGTCAAAGAGATCGTTTACTTACAACTGAAAACGAAATTTTCAAGGTCTGAAAGCCTAAATACTCTTGGGTTTGGTTTATTTACTTGATCTTTTGCTTACTTGCTTTCATGTTTATAGACCGAAATTTCTAATCACAAGATGAAGGCAATCGAGCTTGAAGCTGAAGTAAAGAAATTATCGGGCCAGCAAAATCTTCAACAAAGAATTCATCATCATACCAAAATAAAGGCAAGAAAATAATCCAATTCAGTGTTCTCACTTTGGTTAAATGACTGTTGCTAAAGATATAATTTTTTTTCTATATAACAGGAGGAGAACAATACATTAAAGACTCAGAATGATGAACTGAGCCGTAAGCTGAGAAAAACAGATGTCATCCTTTGTCGTGTTAAGGAAGAACTTGCTAGCCTGCGTGCAGCCAGCGGGATAAACTCCAATTATGTGGAAACTGAGCTAAAACTCAACACAAAACTTAAGGTTTGAATCTGAACCAAGATCTCAATTGGGCTCTTTGGATAAATGACCTTATGGATAAAGCTGTATGTGTGGATTAATTTGTCTATGTAGATTGGGAAGGTTTTTGTTTTGGAGGGCTTTTACATTGATGGAATGAGCATGTTTTTTAATTGGGTAGGGCAGGGTTTGGAAAAAACATGGCTTCCTACATAAAGCTCCCCCCTAAAAGCTTAATGAAGAAGCCACTTTCTATATCATTAAGCCACTATCAAATAGTCATGTATAACTAACCGAATAAGATGTGAGCCACATTAAGCTGCTAACAAACAGGCTCTAAGTGGTTTTCGATTAGGAGCATGACCTTCTCAATCGTTTTTTAGCTCAATGATGTTTCTGATTTCCCCTGGTTCAAAACAGTCTGCCCCTGCTCAAAGCGACTAAAAACATAGAAATACACCGGAGGGTCATTTTGCAAAACCAGCTTCTAGAGAAGGTCATTGAGCTAAATAGTCTGATCCTACTAGTGTGATGAGATTGACTTATATCCTGTTAATTGTTACAGGAAAAGGAAGAAGAGAGGGATCAATTAGCACAGAAGTTGGCAGCATTATACACCAGCATTTTAAAGGTTAGTATCAAGTTTTAATATGCTTAATTAGACCCATGGTAGTCCAAAACCAGGATTGAGCCACTTGGCGAATCTTTATATCGAGCTCTTTAGGATGCGGGTTTGACCATATCCTCGAATTCTTGACCATGAGTACTCGGGATTGGGGATACAGGAAATGGATATGAAAGATCATGAATCTTAAGCTTAGAAATCAATACAAAAAATCAAAACTAGAACTTCTAAGAGGGAATGCAACACAACAAATTCCTTTTTCTAGATAGTTTAGACTATGTTTTCTTCTTACGTTATGGCAAATTGCATAAAAAATGAACGTACTTTCATTCATTTTTTATTTTGGGAAAGATATTTATAGAAGATACATTTAAGGGGGTTATAATTGAAAAAACTGTCTATTTGGGAAACACACGACAAGTTTCACCTATATTAACGATTTCTTTTACTTTCGGCAACAGGCGGCTGGAGTAACGAGGCTGACATCTGATGTAAGCGTCTCTGCTGCTGAAGAAGCATTGGAGCATCTCCAGAGTCGTGTCAACACCCTCGAAAAGGAATTACAAGATCTGCAATATAAGGTATAATCAACTACATTTGGTTCAGACTAAACTATCCTCACTCGTTATAATAAAATTGGTTTTATTTTTGATGCCAATGTATGTCTTAATAGACTACTTTATAGGACTTAAGTTTACAGGACCAAACAATTATGTCCTATGTAGAAGTGTTACAATAAGATGTTAGGATATCCTAACAAGTTTTTTTTTCCAACACTATTGAAATAGAAATGTCGTATTAGTTTTTTAAGGATATAGTTTCTATAAACATTTTTTTAGATAATGTCATATAAAAAGACTAATAGGACGTTTTATTTCGAAATTGTGCCAAAAAACTTATTGGGATGTCCAAAGACCTTTAGATACGACAACATAATTGTTTTGTCCTATAAACTTAAGTCCTATAAAACAGTCTATTAGGCCTATAAAGCTAATTTTGCTGTAGTATTACTAGTCTAGGATGAACTTAATGCGTTCTCAATGTTTCTTAACAGAATAGAATCAGTAATGAACGAATACGATTGTTTGAACTCATGCCACAAATGGGTGAGGAGAATCGACAAACCAACAACAATAGAGCATCATCTCGAAGCCCATTTCTTTCGACTTTAGATCGGTGAAGCTTCGTTTGACATTCAAGATTTCTTGAAAAAGATTGTGGGTATATGAAGTTATGTATGTTTGTATAGTTTACTTCTTCACATTTTGTAAAGAGGTGGTTTTGGTAGATGTAATCTTATTAACACACTTTTGGGACAGTGGAGTTTGTATAGTTGATGGTACATTTGTAAATCAACATTCAAATTTGAGGTTATAAAGCACATTATTTGTCAAGTTCCCACACTTTGTTCCCATTGGCATCTCAAATTTTTATATTTTCACATGTTCGTTATATTTTTGAATACAAGTCGGTATATCTTATCAAATGCACTTAAAATTCGTTTGTCATCCAAAACAGAGGTGATTATTTTTAGATTTGGGTCAGATTCAACCTGATTTTTTTGGTTCAAAGAGCCTATTATAGCAAAATTGAACCTTTTTTACAAACAGAAACATCACAATAATGACAAGTTTATACTTGCTTGAATATAAAAAACTAGAAAATAAATCTAGAATTTGTGTATTCTACACAACTACGAAATTTTATCAATTATCAATATATAGACGAACCATGCGGGGTGTCTATTTTTTTTTGATTAACTTGGATATCCAACCCGTTATGCGAGTCGACTAATCCCATGGCGACCACCTGTTTTGCAGATAGCCCGAAGTCACCGCATTTGAACCTCCATGGTCACAAGGGGATTTTTATTCCTCCTTGGATTTGAACCTGGGAGCTCCTAGTACTTTTGATCTTTGGAGTCAAGCTCAAACCAATTAGACACCACCGGTTTGAACCCTTTTCAGGCCGGCCATTGTTTTTGAGAACAAATTGTCCTATTTTACCTTTTTAATAAAAATGACGTGTCTTGTCAATAAATAATTGTAATACAAAATCACATAAAAGTTAGATATTATTTAATAAATATGAGATATACGTCAACAAATGGAGAAATAACCGTTAGTCCGAAAGGAAATTCAGTCAAACAAACGAAAAAACTTCAAAATTCGTGTGAATTGTAATAGGGTTTGAGCATTCGTGTGTAACGAGGTTATCAATAAAATTTTCATTTTCTTTATTAACCTAGATATCCAGCCCGCTATATGAATCGACTAATCCCAGGACGACCACCTGCTTTGTAGATAATACGGAGTGACCGTATTTGAACCTTCGTGGCCATAAGAGGATTTTTATTTCTTCTTGGATTTCAACCTTTGGAGCCAACCTCAATCCAAGCTTACCGTTAAAAAAAAAATCCATCTTTTTGCCAAATAAAGAAGAGAAACTTTTGTATTTTATTTCTTTTCTGATTTTAAGGGTTTATATGAACGATTGAAGTTGATTAAACCCTTCCTGCACCCATTACTCTGCTAAAAGCAGAAAGCAAGATTAGCTTCGGTATCAGTTTTATAGCTGTAGCAAAATAGCATCGGCTTTTATGAATTGTTGTTAATTCCAAACATACATACATTCAAGTGCGCTGCCCTCCGAGAATCGATTTCAGCAATTCAGGAAACCATTGATTTGTGCTGCCCTCTCAACTCTCGATTTGGTTTCTGGGAACAATCCAAGGTTTTGTGAACTGCTGATTCACTAATTCTGATGATACATTGATTGTAATTGTATGTCTGTGATACATGATTTCTTCAACTGTTGTCGAAAAGTAGAAAATAATTCCTTTTTTCTCTGCATTCTGTAGCAAGCAACTCTCTCATTTGTCCATCTCGAAATCGACGGCAACGAACCATTTTCAGGTGCAATTTCGGTTTTTCTCAGGTTGCTGCTCGAAATCTTGTTAATGGCTACCTTGTAGTTTAGTTTGCTTCTTGAAATCTTATTAATGGCTACCTTGTAGTTTTGTTTGCTTCTTGAAATCTTGTTAATGGCTACCTCGTAGTTCAGTTTGCTTCTTGAAATCTTGTTAATGGACTAATGATGTTTTTTTTTACTCGACTATTGCTCAGTTCTGGTTTCTTTTTGTTTTGCTGTTCTGATTTCTCTAACGTTTTCTGGGGCTGTGTCGGATTTTTTGCATCTGCACAGGCTCGTTGCTTGGGTTCTTTGTGTGAATTTGCCCCTTTACCCTCTGTAACTTGCAGATTCTTGATGAGTTGGGATATGTAAACATACAAAGAGCATCTCTTTCATGAAAAGCTTCTACCTTTTTGAACACCCTTTTATTTGATTTTCAATCTGCACACTTTTTTGAACTGATTCTATGGATTTTGATCATGTGTTTGTCTTTTCCTCTTCTTTTGTATTGCATTTTGAAGTTGGGTGGCTATGTAAGCCTATTTGCATTGGATGATTTTTTTGAAGTTATGATTTTGTGTAAGGTGATAAGTTCATTGGTTGACATGATAAAAATGGTAGTACAATTTTACAAATAACATGGATTTATCGTCCATAATATATTAAAAATATTTCACAAAACGGATTTTCATTGATTATATAGGTTCAACATCAAAACAGCATCCATGACCATGACCAATGGTTTCCGGGTATTAACCAAATACCATAATGCAATGTTCATTCACATTCACATTCCCATTTCCCAGCTCCAACCACGTTACATTAATCTGGATTTCAACCCATATTTTAGTAAATTAGGCGACTTTAAGACGTTTGTTCATGATTTTTAATTACTATGCAAGAACTGTCAACATTTTGATAAATCATCTGTTTGTCTATTTGACTGTGCAGCTTCAGTTTGTCCGCTTCCATTCGGTGCTTCCTTGTTGTTAATCTATCTTTGTAGTATTATTTGAGTAGAAAATGAGTTCGACGGTTGCTCTGCGTTCGATTTTCATGGATGGAGGGTGTTTTTCCAGGTTTCAGGTTCGTATTGTTTGTAAATATTTAATTAATTGATCTACTTGCTCTTTTCTATTTAAACCTAGTAGTCTGGCATTAATTTAGGAGCTGTTTACCAAACACTTGACGGGTAAGCGCCAGTGTCACTTGCCTTAACGGCTGGGCATGGCACAACTACCAATTCGATCTTGATATCAGTAAGAATAGCAGACGGTATACTAGTCAGGACTTCTTTTCTAAGGACCAAGAATCTTATCCGGTAAGTGCGGGAGAAGACTCTTACCCAGTAAGCCCTTATCAGGTAAAAGAACTTGCCAACAATCTATTTTGATGGCGGAGAATGTTACCCGATAAGGTAAGTAAGGATGGCGACTATTGCAGGTAAGTGCTTACCCGATAAGCGTTTGGTAAATGGTCTCTCACACATTAAAAGTGGACTCTATTTGTAGGACAAGGGGATACTCATCAGTATTCAGCTTCTTCTCCAAACTGGAAAAATCTTTAATAGGTATTAACCATACAATTTTGAATTGAATTATAGGATGAAGCCAAATTGCTGAAAGCTAGGAAAATGCCTGTGAGGTGTTCAGTGATATCAGCTCAGAAACTGGATAAGTCTATTAGAGTTGGTATTCTTGGAGCCAGTGGGTATACTGGTGCAGAGGTAAATTAAATTATTATTATTATATATATTTTTATTGTTTAGTTGTTAACCTGATGCTGTTTCTATACTAATTGCTCCCCCAATATATACATCTGATGTTTGTAAGGCATCCTTCGTATCTTGATTGCACCAATTTGGCTAAATTTCTGTATCATTTAAATGCTTTGGTGCTGTTAAGTTATTGCGCATATCCTAAATAATATATTTGAGCAAAAGGTTAATTACCGACAACCCCGACGGGCCCCACACGGCACCCGCTCCCTAGGAACCACATGTGAGGAGGCATTTTAAAGCTGACTTAGCAGAGGTTTTGAGCTACATGCGTGAGGGCTCCTAAATATTTTTTTAGTTTGTAACTTTCTCATTTAAATTTTTTGTGAAGGGAAGTGGTTGTGGAAATTGATATGTGCCCGATTTTTATACATCTGCTCATTAAGTTTTTCTGAGTTTAACTATAGAATTATCTATTTTCAGCTTATTAGATTCCTTGCAAACCATCCTTACTTTGGCATTTCTCTGATGACTGCTGATAGAAAAGCTGGTCAATCAATTGGATCAGTATTTCCACATCTGATCACACAGGTATGCATTTATCATAAGTATTGCTATGTATTTGGAATATATATATATATATATATATATAGAGAGAGAGAGAGAGAGAGAGCGAGTTAGAGAGAGGTTTAGGGGAAAACCCCCAAAAGATGAAAAACTGAGAAACACCCTGGTAACCGTTCATCTGGACGGTGCAACTAATTGAAGTTGTTTTCTGGTTTTTATGCACGTTGCATGTTATAATTTAGGGACAACAACTTCCCACTATGCAGGCTTTTTTTGTAACCATGGGTGACTGGACCAGCTTACACGCACCTCGACCAATCGCATGGGACCCGAAAGTTAACCAAGAAAATCCCCAATGGCCCTGACTCGAACTGTCGACCTATGGGGAGGAGCTCAGGGCCTAACCTATATTTGCCAGTTGAGTTGACCCTGAAGGTTTTGGTCATGTCATTTGGGGGATTTGGAAACATTAGTTATTACACATCTTAGAATAGGGAAAGAATCTTCTCCATGGACGAGGGAGTTAAGAAAATCTGAATGCAGCCAATTAAGGCACCCGGGATCCCATTTCTGAGGAGGATACCCGTTATATGACTAAATGATGGCATGAAACTTGAAATTATACTCACTAGCTGAAACAAATTTCATTAACTTATGTAAAAAAGAGCTCATATTATAGTTACTAAATTAGTTCCATCATAGTAGCAAGCAAGTTGGTATCAAACACAACCTAATAGAGGGACTCTTCGGTCATGGATTAAAGTCTCTTCTTACACATATTCCTCGGCAAAAAAATTATATCGAAGTAGCAAGACGGAAGAGTTTTCCTTATACCAGCGTAATGTGAGTTATATGGTCCTATGGCTTTCTGCATCCATATTCTAAAAGGTTTACCCAAATAGAAAAGATACATCTGAATTTGAGTGTGGCTTATACCATTCAGCTCTGATTTATCAACATTTGCTGAGAAGATGTTCAAGAAACTTTAACATCATCTGCTTGTCCCGAAAATGCCCAAAAATGAACAAAGTTCTCTATTGGGATGTGTCCTTGTACTTAAACAGTTCTTCCTAAATGACTTCTTCATCTCATCGTCTTAAAGTGACATAATTCTAATGATTCTTGCTCCTAGGTGCCTGAATTATGACTAATTGCACAATGTTTTTTCTGTGGCATACTCTTTTGAAGAATGTGGTAAGAACAATGCATGGTTGCTTCTATGTTTGCAGGATTTGCCAGATTTGGTTGCAGTTAAGGATGCAGATTTTTCCAGTGTAGAGGCTGTTTTTTGTTGTTTGCCACATGGCACAACACAGGTTTCCTTCAGTTGTATAATACCATTTTCAATTCCAATATTCTTGCAATCAGTCAATGATTGATGGTTGAGACTGTTAATGTTGTATAATATCTTGTACATAAATCTTATTTCAGGAAATTATCAAAGGTCTTCCAACTAATTTAAAGATTGTTGATCTTTCTGCGGTACATTATGACAACTTCTAATTTTTGCTTCAACATGTAATAGGGTCTTCAGTATTAGGAGCATTTGACGATAATAAAGATGTATGCAGGATTTCAGATTACGAGATATCAATGACTATGGAGAATGGTATGGCCAGCCTCACAGAGCATCAGAATTACAGGTCCGAATTGTCCATTATATCCTTACCTAAAATGCAAACTGCTAATTGATTCAATTTCTTAAAAAACACGTCATCCACCATAGAAACTGTAACGCCCCAAGCCCAAAGCGGCAGGCTAGCTCAATAACTTCTAAGGCTGGTCCAATAACCTACACATCAACCACAAGGGTGGTAGCATGGTGGATAAAGACGAGAATGATAAAAATCAACTTGGGTTCGAATCTTGCCATCTACATATGCGCTTGTGGCCACTGGGAGATTTACCTCAGGGCTGTTGTAGTCGTGACTTGTCATGGGATTAGTGTGGGCGAAGCCTGGAATCACCCATTTCAAAAAAGAAAATTACACATGAACTTAAAATCATGGTGGAAATCGTTAGTATCCCACAACTTTGAGCTTATAAGGAGCTTACGGATCAACTTTTCTATCCATGAGAGACGGGTTGTTACAGTAACTTGTGATATCTGGCATGCTTTTGGGCTTTGCCGTTATTATTAACATGGTAGGTGTCTTTTTTGTTTCTAATTACTACACTAGCTTAAGATACGTAGTTTAGAGTCTTTTTGCTTCGGTTTGCAGAAAGAAGCTGTTTATGGTCTCACAGAGATATATAGAAACAAGATCCAAAGTGCACGGCTTGTTGCAAATCCTGGATGTTATCCTACTACTATTTTGCTCCCACTTATCCCGTTACTGAAGGTTTGTTTCTCGTTCTCTTGTACATTCTAAGGATTTTCACATTAATACATAGAAATCAAGAGGTAGGAAATTAATCAAAAGAGGTATCTCCTTTCTTTCATTGTAAAAAAATAATATGCAGGACTTGTTTAATCTTTTTATAGTATTGGTTTTGGACACTTAAAATTACTTTTGAACATCGACTGTAGATGGGTATGCAGTTCTTGCTACCAATATATATACAGGGAGGTTCACGGGAAAACCCCCCAAAAAAATGAAAAACTAAGGAACACCCTGGTAAATGTTCATCTGGACGGTATGCACATGTGCATGCAAGTAATTGAACCTGTTTCTTGGTTTTTATGCATGTGTACATGTTCTGCACATGTGCATATCGTCAAGATGAGCAGTTACTAGGGTGTTCCTCAGTTTTTCATTTTTTTAACAGTTTTCCCTGAAACTGATCATAGGGTTGGGTTATGGTGAGAATGGAAGTTTTGGTGAGAAGATAAGAAGGGATCTCCATCCTTGGATCAATCCTAATTTCAGAGAACCACTAGATCAACACTGATGAGATACACTAGACTGATTCCCTTCTAAATCACAATTCATGAGTTGTTTTGGGATTAAAAGTGATCAAGGGTCCATATCCCCTCTTACACTTCGCACCTTAACTCCTATCCTCACATGATCCTTCATCTATATATATATGAAGTTGTGGCTTGGATTTAGAGTCTTAATACCTTCTGGTTTTCTTATGATGACAGGCCAACCTTATTGCATTGCAAAATATCGTTATTGTCTCAAACTCTGGAGTTAGTGGAGCAGGTTATTTATTTGAACTCTGGCTTCCTTTACATTTACATTGATTGAAGAGTATTTTTTTTAATGCTTGGTAACCTTTGCAGGCCGGAGTGCAAAAGAGGCGAATTTGTACACAGAAATATCTGAAGGGATATTTTCTTATGGCATCACCAGGCATCGTCATGGTAAGTTGGTTATTTGGTACGCGGGACAAGACAATACAAAAACTTGTTGTCTCATGTTTGACACGACATTGGACTGAGACAGTACAGGAGGTGACTGGACGAAAATCCATTCTTTTCTGAACCGCCAAAATTGGTGGAACAAAAATAATGGAGATGAGACAAAATTGGTAAATTACTAAACTACCCATGTCAAATTAAACCCTATAACCTTCCAGAATTCTTTCACCTGCCTACCTCACTCTCGTCCGTCCAGTTGTATCCAGTCCCGTCCTCGCACCAAACGCATGTCAAACCTATGGTCATTGTCGTAACATTTGTATGAGGTAGTAATCTGTTTTCTGCTTCTGGTTTGGCTTTAGTGCCTGAAATTGAGCAAGAATTGTCGGATGCTGCAAATTCAAGAGTAACCGTTAGCTTTACTCCTACCTTAATGCCAATGGTAATTGTTACTTCACCATTTAATTGAAAGTTGCTCGGAATCCCCATTCTGTTCTCTTCTTGGCGCTAATTTTGATGATTTATCTGATTTGTTGTACTACCTGATCCGAAACATTATTTGGATGGATGGGCAAATCGAACACATGTTTATCGTCAACTATCTGACTCTACTTCTAGAGCCGAGGCATGCAATCAACTATAAACGTACAGATGGCTCCCGGAGTTTCAGTTGAGGATTTGAAGCAACAATTGACGGGCTTCTATGAGGTAATCTTTTTTGTGGAAGAAGATAAAGAAATGTAACAATCTAGAATTTTTGAGTTGGAGCATGTTTAATCTGGTTCTTCACATGCCGTCACTGTTACTGTTATTGGGAAAATTCATTTAGGAACTGTAAATCTTTTGAAAATCAACTATTCATGATGAATAAACATAAATATCCATTATGAATATTATGCATTTTCATCATTCATGATGAATATAAGGAATATCTATCACCATATTCATAATGAATAGTTGGTTTCACAGTTCTCAAACGAACCAGCCCCTACCATTATAGTAACATGCTTATGTTCTTCACATTATGGTTTCTGTAGAAGGAAGAATTCGTAGTTGTGCTGCCGAATGATGCAGCTCCACACACGAAATACGTCCAAGGCTCCAACGGTTGTCATATAAACGTATTCCCAGATCGCATCCCAGGGAGAGCAATAATTATCTCCGTTGTAAGCCATGCTTCGTGTTTCAAAAAAAAAGATACGAACTTGTTGATTGTTTGCAAATTATTAGCTAATTTCATAAAACTGTGTTGCAGATCGATAATCTTGTGAAGGGAGCTTCCGGTCAAGCTTTACAGAATCTTAACTTGATGATGGGAATTCCAGAAAACACTGGGCTCAGCTGCATGCCTTTATTTCCTTAGCTGCATCGCTACAAGAATATGAGTAAGCAAGCGTGTATTCTCAACTCGCCCTCCGTTTTTCCATTAAGCTGTCTGTATGGATTAAGCTAAACCGTTGGTTTGTTTGTTGTGTTGAATAAACAGTCTACAGTGAGTATTGTCATCCAAGAAAGATCGTTAACATTTGATGGGATCCTGACAAGTCATGTGTCATCTGTTTCCCAATCGAATCGAGTTCATTTTCAAGATTTCTTTTTTTTACTATTAGCTTGGTGACATCGACACAAAATGAATTATCTTGGCGCCAGTAATTTTTCTGCTGGGAAAACGTGGAAACGTGATTACGTTACTATCGATATATCGTAGCGTGTGAGCTGCCTTGAATCAGATTTGCCATAATCTAATGTGTCTTGATGTCTAGCAATTAGAGATGCAAAGTAGGTTGAAATTGGTCTGTGGTAGTTTCATCTGAGGTATCAATTGTCAAGAGGGTTTGTTGGTTTATAAAAACAAATTATACATATTTAGACGTTTGTTAGTTTATAAAAACAAACAGTTTTATTGATTCAAATTTTAGATTTCAGCATCATCTCTTATCAATCAGAAGTGAAATAAGACTTCAGACTTCAACAACTATTTGAAAACAAACGTCACCTTACTGAGTATTAAGAAATTCCAACAAAGTTTCCAAGGGCTTTCACTTTTTACATGTGGGTAATCAAGTTGGGTTGGCTAGTTTGAAGACATTTAAACAACTCAATCCAATGTTTATGGATTGAAAAATCTCAACCCAACTGGGTTGATCCAACCCAATATTGCACGGGTTAAGTTAGGTTGGCCGGGGTTTTATGCGCCCTTAAAGAGGAGCACACATCGTCTTTTACAACTCAATCTCAATTAAAATATTACTTTCTCTCTCATCCACCTATACAATCTTCAATTTCAATACGATCTTACTTCTTTTATCATTTAACCACAATCTCCTCAAATCCAATCTAATCTTAAATATTATTTTGTACAGATAATATATTTGATTTTTTTATATATATAATTTTTAGTTTTTAATTTAAGTATAAGAATAGAATAAACGGACTATTGCATATTTTAAAACGTAATTATAATTATAAATTTACCATACAATTGAAGTTAAATAAAACAAATCACAAAAACAAGTACGACATTACATATCTGAAATACATAAATAATTGTAGTTAATTATCATGACCGAATTTTTACCATAACGAGAGGATTGAAACGAATAAAAAGATTGGTGTGATGAAAATATATCAATATTAAGCTCTATTTGTAGAGAATTGAAAACTATGAATTTTGGTATATTTATTATTTTTTTGTTAAAATCATTTTTTTTATCAAATAAGTTTTATAAAATAGAAATATAACATTGATCAATAGTAATACGCCATGTGGCAGATGAAGTAGGATGGAAGATTTACAATCTCGATTCGTGTGGAGATCAAGTTTGGATGAGATTGTACATTTTTTTTTGTTTTTTTAATATCTTTTTGTCTTATTCACGATCAGATTGGTTGAGATCATGACCAAAGATAGTCTAAACACCTTTATGTGCTATTCAATTTAGGGGCCGTTTATTAAACGTTTACCCGGTAAGTGTTTACTGGGTAATTTTCCTTAATGGATGAACATTGCAATGGTCAAAAATCTTACGCGGTATGAGCAATGATAAAGATGAAGAGTCTTACTCGGTAAGTGAGGGTGACGACTCTTACCCGAATAAGTGCTTATCGGGTAAATTGTTACATACGATACCATTTTGATGTACTTCAATCTTATCCGGTAGAATAAATTATGGTATTGACTCTTAATAGTAAGTGCTTAGGTAAACGGCCCCTTAGTTTTCATTTTAAGATACTTTCATGTTTGTTCAGTTTTTGAAATATCAGTTAAAGTATGTTAAGCTTTCAGTATTTTTATGTTGATCAATGACACTGAAGTTCCAATTATTTACATCTCTGCTAGACTACCTCCACGTTTTTGTGAGGCCTTCGATTAAACAACAAATATCATCCAACGACTACCAGAGCGGTCTCACAATTCTCACCAAAAAAAAAATCTCACGTTAAAATAATTTACGAGTCGTTTAACACTCGCTTACCAAGTGTCACCTACCATACAAAGTGAGCATGACAAAAACCGAGAATCTTACTTGATAAGAGGCCTAGCAAGGACAATCTGGTAAGTGATGAAAAAGACTTTTTACCCGGTAAAAGACGCTTACCAGCTATCTATTTTGATAGACGAAAATGTTCTCCGATAAGCACGGCCCATGGGGATTTTTTGTTGTTGAAACTGGTAGCCTATGGTTTTACACATACAAACAAATAATAAATCAATCGATAGGTTCTCGGTAGGTTGTGGTTTAACACACATAAACACGCACTAAGGGGCCGTTTACCAAACGCTTACCAAGTCACATTACCTCACAGGATGAATATGGTAAGGATCAAAAATCTTACCCGGTAAGAGCGAGACAAAGATCAAGAGTCTTACCCGGTAAATAAGAGCGACGACTCTTACCACGGTAAGCGTTTACCGTGTAAATTGTTACATGCGATGTCGTTTTGGTGAACTAAAATCTTACCCGGTAAGTAAATAGTAGTGTTAAATTTTACCCGTAAGCACTTATCGGGTAAGTATTTGGTAAACGGGCCCCAAGTCGATGAACGGGTTCTCGATATTTCTCAATTGGTCTCGATCGTTTATCTATTGTTATAATATAGAACATAGGAGATATCATCAATTGGATCTGTGGCGCAATGGTAGCGCGTCTGACTCCAGATCAGAAGGTTGCGTGTTCGATTCACGTCAGGTTCATATATTTTTGCTCCTTTTGATTTTTCATAATAAATTACAAATTCAGTCCCTGTGGTTATGTGAAAATTATAGATCTGATCCTCCAACAAAATAATTACAAGATTGGTCACTGTAGTTTCAATTTCTTTCTAGATCAGGTCCCTTCTGTAAACTCTGTTAAATACATTCTGTAAATTAACGGCATATTACCCGGTAAGCGCTTACCGATATGAGTCAACACTATGATTTAATTTGATGCGTAAGATTTTAGTACATCAAACATATTGAATGCAACAATTTACTGGATAAACACTTACCTGAGTAAGAGTCGTTATCTTCACTTACCGGGTAAGACTCTCCATTCTCATCGCTCTTACCCGGTAAGATTTTTGGTCTTTCTCATGTTTATTCGATGAGAAAATTTATCCGGTTTGCACTTATCAAATAAGTGTTTAGTAAACGACCCCTTAATTTGGTTATTTTACTCTTCTTCCTCCTTCCCGATCTCCTCATTCCTCAACCCAAGAACACTCTACGATATCAACATTTTTGTTTAATAAAATACCAAAGTGGATAATTTACTCGAGTTGACAAGGATTAGTATATCGTTTTATTTCCATAACCAGGATGAAGCTTGAGTGAAACTAAGTGCAAGTCCGAACCGACTAATATTGAAGAATCAGGGACCTCTAGGGGAAAAAAGGGTCATATGCAGATAATGATAAACCATAAGATTGAATCAAGAACCCTAAAATGGTGAACGAACATAAATCAGAACTCGTCTATGACCAAAATCCAAGAAAAATTTAACAATCAACTCACGTAAAAGTTGGTCAATTGAAGACGGACTCTTCATAGAGAAAAACAAAAGGATGAACGAGACAGTAGTGAAGAAAAGGAAAGTAAATAAAAGAAAAATAATCAAAATGTGAAAGTTGCAAACCTTAAGGACCAAATCCGAGTTTTTAAAATTTAAGGACAAGAGTAAATTACAAATTTTGTCCCTGGTTCGGTGAAAATTATAGATCAAATCCCCCTAACAATATAATTACAAAAATAGTCCTTATAGTTTCAAGTTTATAACAAATCAGGTCCAGTAAAATAACCCCATATGCCCTCATGTGCTCATTTTGGAATTGATGGCAACTGTTTTTCTTTTGAAAGATGTTACAACATAGTTCTAACTAAACCAAATTATTAGACCAAACAGACCCAGTATATCCCACACAGATGTAGAATCCGAGAGACGCCTTCAGCATTTCATCTGCTTTTTTTACGTGTGATCGTAAGTAAGCCACTTCACCCATTGCTGGAGGGTTAACTCCTATTATGAAGCATAAATGGAGTACATAATTGATCCATCAGCCAAAGCTGCCAGATTGCTCCCCTGAAAATCCACTGCCATATGAAGCAGATGCAGTTTGTACGCTACCATATGAAGCAGCGGCGGCTCCAGTTGGTGCACCACCTACTCGGGCCTTTCTTAGTTGTCGAATCTTGAAAGCATCTTTAGGCAGTGGTTGGCTTTGAACGGTGCTACTGTCGTCATCATCTTGCCCTAAACAAATTAACAAGAATCTCAACAACCATGATGAAATAATCATGCAAATCATGATGAAGTTATGTGAAAGAAGGTTAAAATGCTGTTTTTACCATCTAGCAACATAAAATTAGCTGATAAACTAGTCATGTTTGGTAATATACCTATTTATTAATTATTCATGAAAATATACCTAAATATTCATGAATATTATTCATCACGAATATCATGCATTTTCAATTTCATTATTCAAGATGAATATCTATCATGATATTCATCATGAATAGCTGGTTCTCAAATGAACCTGTCCCATCCCACTTGTGACACCCACACACACACACACACACACACACATATATATATATATATATATATATATATATATAATAGATAGAAAGGAAGGAGTAATGGCATACTGTCTGCATCTTTTCTCTTCCCATGTTGTCTGTCCCTTGGTTTGAACAAATGGGATTTGCTTGAACCAGAAACATCACTGGAAGCAGGTCCAGCTTGTGACTGAATCGCTAATTTCCCAGGTTCCCCAATCGGTATAGTGCTTTGTAAACATATTGATAGAACATAATCAACATCAGGCAACGGGCCTATACCATTATCAGAAAATTCATCAACCATTAGAAAATGTAGCAAAAATGATCATGATTCAAAACTCCAACACAATTCACAAAAAGCCTATAATAGTTGGAATCAACTGCTGACTTCATTTTTTTAGCAACTGAAGTGGATGTGTTTACTTTCCATAATTGTCTATTTGTATTTCTTGCTATAAAATCTTTAACTTGACCATCACATAGTTCTTCGAAACCTTCAAAAATCATGCTAATCTCGAAGTAGAAATGTAGCACATTTGACCTTCAAGTCGAAGTGAAATATGAATAAAGCAGAAAGTTAAGTAAGAACCGTAAATCTTTTTAGAACCTGGGAACCAATTATTTCATCAATCATTCATGATGAATAATCCTAAAATACTCATGAATGTTATTCATCATGAGTACCATGATTTTCATTATTCATGATATTCATCATGAATATCTATGATAATATTCATCATGAATATCTATGATAATATTCATCATGAATAGTTGGTCTTAGGTTCTCAAAATATTTACGGTTCTCATTTGAACCAACCCCTATGAATAAACGCTACTCATGATAAAGACAACAGTTTGATTCATTACCCTCTGCAGCAGGCAAACTTGCTATAAACGCTGCCAAAGCAGGTGGCAAGGGTTTTGGAACAGCATTAGGTGCAGGTGGCACTCCACCAATGACCAATGATGATGCATTAGAACTAGGCAATGTGCTAGCAGTGGAAGGAAGACCAGTAGTGGTTAAACCTGAGAAAAGATAATAAACATATAAATAAGCAGAGCATATACATATATAGACGAAGGTGACGTATCGTGTGAGAATAGGAGTTAAACTAAGAAGCTTAAGAAGGGATTTAGACCCTTGATCACTTTTAATCTCACCCCCACCCCATAAATTGCGCTTCTCACTGGAATTGATCCGGTGCATCTCATTAGTGTTAATTTCAATTAGGATTGATCCAAGGGTGAAGATCCCTTCTACCCTTTTCACCATAACTTCCATTCTCACCAGAACCCAACCCTATATATATATATATATATATATATATATGAGGATACTTGCAAGAATAGAGAGCTTGGTGATCATTCAACACCAGGGAAGAAATAGATTGTCCAACTAAAAAACAAATTTTTATTTAATATAATGGACATACTGACAAACCCTATTTGTATTGTTATTGCTTACTCATCAAACTTTTCAATGTTTAGTGTATCCGTTATTCTCCATTTCCCACACTTTTCACTAGCCGAGGGTCTTCACACAAACCACCACTCTACCCTTTAGGGTAGAGGTCAAGTATGCGTACATCTTCCCCCTCGAGAGGCCCGCCCGGTGCAAACCCCACTTACAGGTGGGATATACCGGGCTCATTTGGTTTTACTGGTAATTTGATTATATAATGGTATTGGTCATTTATGCTTGAAGATATGGTACCTCAACACCAATAATTTCCAAATGTTTCTGTTTGTATTTCTGGTAATTTGATTAAATAATGGTATTACTGTTTCTGTTTTCATTGTAGCATACCAGGCTTTTGTCTCGGATCATAGACCACCATTCTCGAGGTATCCGGATAGATGATTTTAGAAGATATGTTTGAATTCGACATTTGTCCTGGACTTTTATCTGCGTTAAGAAGAGCAAGTATAATCAATGATTATAAAAGGTAAGTGTAACTAGAGATGCTTTTACTTGTATAAGGTACAATGTTAACTACCAAACCTGCTTCATTTGCCAGAGTTGATTTCTCAACTTTCTTGTTTGCATTACTCGAAAGCCACTGAAATGGAACAGAAATTCGAAAGTAAGCGCCCACTTTCCGATTCTACCCTTAACTATGAGATGGAGAAATTCATTACTCCCAGCCCCCTACTCTATTAGTCAAGCATTAGCGCCACGCCTCTATTCATAAGGGTAAAATTGTCATTTAGTTAAGTAAAAAGTGTAATTACACATTCCTAAAACTGTGTGCCGTTTTCTTTGTGGACATTTATTTTCGGACAGAGGGAGTAGATTAGAAAAAAAAAATAGTATTCGAAAAGAGAGGATGGTACATCTTGACGAGATAAATGATCCAATTCCCTCGAAGAGCATGGCCATAGATCCATAAAACTATATCGTGATACAACATCTTGTAAGGAATTCTGTAAAGCCGATGCGCCCTCTTCACCTGTTCTAGCAAGGGCTTCTTTCCTTCTTTGCTCCACCTATATGAAGACAAAATATAATCTGAAGCTCTGAAGCTAGGAAAGCAGAACGCACATATGGGGTAGTAACTACATAGACCAGTAAATTGGAATTACTCGCTCCCATAACTCAGAAACACACAAACTTCAACCTAACCGGGACCACATTCTACACAAATGTTGAAACTTTTAAGGGGAATACTGAAGTCCAATGTCGCAAAGTAAAGGGACAAGGCATTACCTTCAACATGCTAACGAGATCTCCATATGTCTGCTCAAACTGAGAGAACCTCTTCCAAACCTACAACACAAACAACTAATTATATAGATTTATAATAAAACTGTGCCAAATAGAATCATGCAAGAATTCAACTCTGTGAGTTGAAACCGAAAGCAATGCACCAAATACACGTAGCATACAAATCAATAAACATCAGAAATTCATAAACATATTAAAATAATGATATTAGATACAACGATGATATTCTCAGTGATAAGAGTATTATAGTGAAGAGCAATGCACCTCAACAGACTCTTCAGGTGGAAGCGAGCTCAATGCACGTTCAAATAAGGCCCTGATATTTCTATCATCATTCAAGCGAGACAAAAAATCTGCATATCTACAATATGGAAAGTAAATGAATTAGATATATTCCATAAATGACCTAAAAAGTAATCTTCAAATACACATATATGCCAAGTCTATATCGGTCATAGTATCGTATGCATAACAGAAAGACAATGGGGAATGTTTGTTTTGACATGATCACCAAGTCCATCAGTCGATAATAGATGGTTACCGAGTTCATCAAAATTGAAATACAAATGTTTGAAATTAACCCATAACAAGCATTAATGACTATATATCAACTTTTAAGAATTCCCCAAGTTGACGAACATTTTGATGAATAAATCCAAAAATAGGTTACTAAAACACATACTTACTCAAGAATGTATCCGGGCTCATGCATAAACCTTTTCAACCCTGCTTCAAACACGTTGTGTGCAATCTGCATACACAAGGCAAGCATAAGATAAACTTAAGAACACATTTATGACTCCTCAAATTTACTCTTAAACTTTCTGATATCACTTCCACAAATCTTCAAAAGCTGATATCGTTAAATACCTTCAAGACTTGAGATGCGGAGGTTAAACTTACAACTGATGACTGATGCATGTATGATAGCAATTACAACCACAAATTTGTAAATGACAGAACCAAGAAGGTACAACACAGAATGGTCATTTACCTTTGCATCTTTGTCCATACAAAATGCCATTGTTGCATAAGCAACATAAACATGGTAAGTACAATTAGGAGATTTGCGTGCATCCAAGAAATACTTTCGAGCTGCTTCAACACCTTCCGTTCTTCTTAGGAATCTAATAAACTGCACGTTGACATATAATTGCTTATAAACCAAGAAATTGGCAAACAAAAGGGAGTTTAGTTTGTAGACTTATATAAAAATATACCAATTAGAATAATAAATCTAACAGTGCTTATCCAGAAAGATTACCAACCAAAACCCACATTATAAAAAAATGACATGATAAAGCAGTCTGTAAAGAGTTGACACGAAAGTTCTATTGACGATATAATGCATATAGAATACAGTTAATTTTCCTTTTAGAAGTTGATCTCATCAAACATCCAGGTAGAAGCTAATGTCACCACGAGTTGAGCTTCTGTGAGAAAAAAAATCCCCTGCTCAGAATATCAATCACTTCTTTAGAATCTTATTATTCTATAATGCAATATTCCATATCTAGAGAATAGGAGATAGCTCATTAGAAAACTGTTGCTGTCCCAAGAAATTTTAAGACCTGATCTCTATATCAGTACAGATGAAGCCCCAATGTACTCTTGCAAAAGATGCCACTTAACTAGAGGATAGAAATGGCTAGCTGTCAGACTATATTTACTGCGATAAATGAAAGATGCTGCCGATACTAAAGCTACAAAATGTAAAGGATGACCCAGTGATCAAGGCTCTTCCGTTGCAGGGTCCAGGAAGTCCCTAATGTTGTCTGAGGACCATCATTAACACGGAAAAGCTAGTCCTCGACTTCGGGCCCTACAGGTGGTTTCCTATTAAAAGAAATCTTCTCAAAATAAATTTCAGTTGGCAGCAGTTCCAATTAGAAAGTCTGGGACTGTTCGTTTGCCTCCTAATAGTTCCATTAGTGGCAACCTCTGAATCGCTAAGAGGTAAATCCTGTTTGGTAAAAAAAAAAAAGTGCGCCCTTTTAATGGTTCTATTATCCTAAGAGCAATTTGTTCATCTGGACCTCCCCAAACCATTCAGAGCCCTATTTTTCCAAGATTGCCCTTCCAAACTCACATCGCTCACAAGAGGAATCTGCCCCTGTTCTTCACAATCGATCTACAGGTACATCTCAAATTCTGCAGTTTGTGTTCTTCTGAATCAAACCCTTCAATTTCCTCCTCCAAATTCTAAAACAAGTACGCAATCGTACGCCTTCAATTTTGCTACTGTTGTTAGGTTTTGTTTCTGGAAAATTTTGTAATAATTCGCCAAGGATGTTTCTTGGAATGATGGATCCGGAGATTATCAGGCTTGCTCAAGAACAGATGTGTCGTATGTCATCCACAGAGTTATCCAGGATCCAGCAACACGTTAGTCCTTTTATTTGATAGTTCAATCACGAAAAATGATAGCTTGAGCAATTTTGAGGAAAATGAAGTAAATAAAAACATACTTGTAAATTCTTGTGATTGCTTTCCAAGTTTCAATTTGAAGCAACTATTTTTGTTTATGATGTATGCTGTGGCATGAGATTCAGGAAATTCAAACAGAAATTACTAAATGAAATCATGCCTAGAAGTCTATATTTAAGATTTTGGGCCCTTTTCTTAAGAATTGACATGTCTCATAAATTGGTGATATATGCATAATTTGGTATTGTTGGAGGTGTAAGGGGCCGTTTACCAAACACTTACATGGTAAGTGCTTACCGGTAAAACTTAACACTATCACTTACTTACTGGGTAAAATTTTAGTCCACCAAAACGGCATCGTATGCAACAATTTACCCGGTAAGCGCTAACCGTGGTAAGAGTCATTACCATGTAAGACTCTCGGTCCTTGTCTTCACTCCTACCAGGTAAGATTCTTGGTCCTTGCTATATTCATCCAGTAAGGTAATGTGACTTGTTAAGTGCTTACCCAAGTAAGCGTTTGGTAAACGGCCCCTAAGTGTATTAGGATTCCTATGTTATATAACCAAGACCAGAATCGATTTGCAAAGCTAGATCATGAACATAATGCATTTGGTAATTGATTTGAATGCTATTGTTCGATCTGATCTGAAGTAGCTAACAATACTGGTCTGAGGTTCTGTTAAAAAATGTGAAATTGTGACCTATGAATGAACAACTTTGAGTATTCACACATCAAATCAACCTAATCTGAGGCGCAAAATCTTCGAATTTTTTCTACAAAAACAGTTATTCTTGGATGGTTTTTTTATATATAATTTAGATGTTTCTTGTGATGGTTTATGTTGTTTTACTTAGTAAATAGATTGCAAGTGACGATAAAAAGACAGGGACATCAGAACTCCAATTTTTGCAGTAGTAATGACCAAGTCTATAATGGGAATCTCTCTGATGCAATTCTTATAATATACCTACAAGATTTTATTTTCAACCCCCATAACTGTTTAATCAAGCGCCAGTTTGCTAAATTTATTGTAATCGTTTTTAATTTCTTGTTATGCATAGAGGGTATGAATCACTAGTTGTTGCCTATGATGGTTTATAGATATACTTTGAGTTTACACAAGGAAACGAATTTAATCTGAGGCAACTTCATGTTCTTATTAGTAGAATCATATGATTTGTTGATTATAGTTTGAAAGGTTGAATTAATTTTGCAAACATTCAAGTTTTAATTACTTGCAAGTGATGAACTGATGATAGATCAGACAGGAACATCTGCATTCCATTGGAGCATGATGATTCATCAGTGGGAATCTCTCTGGCGCTCATATGTTCATGTTCAAGATCAGGTTCTTTATTGAGTTCATGTTCTTTTGTTAATTCCATTAATTTTGTTGGTTATTTGCATTTATTTGTGGACTAAGATATGGATGACTGAATGTGATCTGCAATCTTTAAGAACTGTTGTGTAAACATTCAAGTTTTACTACTTGCAAGTGATGATAGATCAGACAGGGACATCTGTATTCCATTGGAGCATGATGATTTGTATGTGGAAATCTCTCTGACGCTCATATGTTCATGTTCAAGATCAGGTTCTTTATTGAGTTCATGTTCTTTTTTTAATTCCATTAATTTTGTTGGTTATTTGCATTTATTTGTGGAATATAATATGGGTGATGAATGTGATCTGCAATCTTTAAGAACTGTTGTGCCAACTCTTTCGTCTCCCATTGATCAAGTTTTGATCTTTTAAAGAATTTATATTTGTTCTTTTGATTCTTGGATTATATGAGTTGTGCGTTTGTGATAAATTTGGTGTTATGAAAAGCCCGATGATTGATTCAGAAGAACGAAGATTTGAATGATGTTTTATGTGGAAGCTAGACAAATCTGTTGGGCTCCAAAGTCATCACATGTAAAAGCCATTCTACCTTTGAAGATGAAGGCTTGTTTTTCTAGTCTACTATTTTATGCATTTGGTAGTAGTAGTCTAGTAGATTAGAATCCCATTTTTGGGTTTGCTTGTAAAAATGATGTCTTATATATTGAGATTAAACATAATTTGATGTTGTATCTCAATTCACGGACGTCCCTACAAAGCTTTTGGCATTAAGCCATTTTCTGCCTGTTCGTATGTAACGAATTTGTGGATAATAAAATATGATGATGAATTTGACCTTTCCATATTTCCATTTTCTGCATGTTTGTATAAAATGTTGTTTTGAACTAGTAATATAGAGTATGTAGTTATATTTGTGAAGTAATTGTTTTGTTCAGATATTTACCGAACAACTATATTTCATTCAGACTTAAATCATATGGAGGGTTAAATGGTAATTTGTTGTCACTCAGACTGTCCATTCTGAACAGTTACCAAACAGCCATATTTCATTCTGCACTATATCATACAGAGCCTCTTATGCCTTCTGACCACTTAACCATTCAGCATCAAACCATTCAGCAACTGCCAAACAGCCCCTCATTGTGGGTTTTTATCAAGTTATTGAATATTTAGATGCATATCGTGAATGTAATTCGTGTTGGTATCTTGCCTCCTACATGTGTACCTCAATTTGGATCTTTTCAGATCCTTTCAATGCAATTCTAATTTCCGCAGCTACAAATGTAGATATGGGACATGAGCTTACTGGAGGCAAGTTTCCTGAGTCATTGTGTGTGTGTCCTAAAACGTAATCAAAGTTTTGACCAAGTCATTAGAATAACATAATTACCCTGGTCAGGACTCCGGTAACACATCAGCTGAAGTATCAAAATTTTGTTTAAAGAGGGGTTGGTAGTTTGGTATGTTGGTATATATCCACCAATCGAAGTGTTCATGGATTTATAATCGTTCTATTTTACTTCCAAGGCTATACAGATGAAGACATCATCTCCTCTCTTTAGAATTCATTGATCTATAAATTCATGCAAGAAAGTTGTGAAATATTTCACATATGCTTTACATACTTTCTGTCATTATTTAGAATGATAAATTGATGATCTAGTTTGAAGGATCATACCTGTATATGTGATAACGCAGTTGCATTGGCACCATCTCCTAAAAGACTTTCGTATACCTTTTTGGCAGCCTGCAAGACAGAAGTTAGAAAGATGAATGCCCAAGGGAATATCCAAAGTAGAAGGAAAACCGCATGCCACCATTATTATACCTGAATTGCCCCACGGGATTCCTCAAGCTCAGCATAAGCATACCTTAGCAATGCACAATCTAAACAGGAAGCAACACAACACAGTGCACCATGCATAGTTTAAAAAACAATAATACAGTTTTACATTTACATACAGTAGTTACAACAATCTTTATCACTCCCTCCCATATTTGATGTCACCATAGCAAAGCAATACTTCTTGATAGTTTCTTTGCATTTTTTTCTACGTAGTCCTGGGCCCTTAGAGAGCCAAATTGAAATAAAGGTGGGATCTGTTCATGTAATTTTCAGAAAGAGAAACAATATAAACTCTCTCAATAAAATATTCGCAGAACTGTAAAGTGACATTAAATGAGACGGAAGTAATGATCAACTGAAACTTGTTCTTGAAACGGAATGGTAATATGACATGAACAACATCCAAGAATAATGTACTCCAAGCAAAAAAACTGTGAACTGCTAAATACGAATATTTATCAAAATTACCAGGAAGCGCCTTCAAAGATCGTTGATATACTTTGATAGCAGAGTCTATTGAGCCGCTTTTTGCATGCCATGTAGCATAGTCATGCCATATATCCGGGTAATGATATAAATACATGAGGCACTGAAAATGGATGCGCAATGGCAGAGAGAGAGAATAGGTGGTAAAAGTTAGAAGAGAAAAAAATGTATACAAAAAATAGTATCCTTACAATACTGTCCAACAATAGACAGGTAGAGCTTAAAAAATTTGAATATCAATAATAAATAAATAAAAACCAATGGCATAAGCGTCAACTCATATCATCTGATGATTTACTTTTTGGAGGGATGTTACTACAACCCTTGATAACCTGAACACAAGTGTGCCTTTTAATTATAGTGAAATGCTATGAAGATTGACTTTAAGTACCTGTTCATAAGTAAATGAGATGCGCTTGTTAGCAGACGAGGTATCTATCCTTTGAGGATTCTCCCTGAGATACGAAATATGCATAGTAAAAAAATGATCCACAAATCATTGAAGTTACAAACAAGTCATGTTATTTTTAGCATTCAACAAATTATATGGAACGGTCTACATTGAGACGACAATATCAAGATACTTGATAAGCAGGAAACCTGTGACGAACAGGATTCGTAGAAAAGCTAATCACAAACGCACCATATATATACATACAAATTATATAAGTAGTCACGAATCATGGTATGCACTCCTATACTATAGAGATATAGATATTATATATGCCCTTTAATAAGAAAAACAAAAGCATGCATCTTTTCTTACTTCTCGAAGGCTAAGAATCTCTTCCATGCCATCCATTGTAGTTCTTCCTGTCAGAGCAAGGAAACCAATAATCGCCCATAAAATCCATAGTTAATTCCCAATGACACATTAAAAGCAACACAGTGCACATAAATAATATAAGCAATAAAGACAACACACAAGTAATTGCCTTAAGAGAACCAGATGGTGGCAAGGCAAGCAGGTTCCAATCAATCTCATCAACGTACTTCTTTCGTTCTCTATAGACAGCCCTTGCACTGTTATATTTTGGCTGATACTCGGATAATAGTCCTTTTGCCTGGATAATATGATATCATCAGCCAAGATACACATTTATAGTGAAATCATATACCAAGAAAACTAAGCATAATTGGATGTTCAATAACTCGCTTTTTATGGATACCAATCTTACTAGAACAGTGCCCCTCATTGCATTAACATATCAATAAGCAAAAGCAGGAAGTGAGGAGACTTAAGCCCAGGGCTGTATAAGCTCTGTACCAACTGTAAACGGATTCCACACAGTGAACAAAATTCATTGGCTTTCAAAGATGGCAATATAGATACTATTGCCAACCTTACAGACACTGAAGTAGACACGACTATTATTTAAAGCCTGCCCAGGTTGTAGATGCCTCTACTAGCATCTAGCACTGAACTAGACAGCTTGTTAATCATATTTTACTATGGCCTAACCCAAGTACCTCGTTACAGAAGGAAATGCTTAAACATTGCAAGTTCCGCCAACAAACGAAGAGATCTTGGAGGAATAACCACATATAAGATTGAAGATAATTTGGCAAAGAAATAGACTATTTGTGTCTCGAGAAGAGATGGAAACATGCTCAATGTCATTTGATTGAATAGTTGACCCACCCTTTTGTGAGAAACCCCTCCTCTTGAATTGATATTTTTTTACGAAAAGCGGACATGAGCTAACAAATCCAGTGTTTCAATAAGATTTCTACTCGTGGTTTCAAATTCAAGTTGACTTTATTTTGCTCTTCCTTGAAGAGAGACGATCAAACAATTCTCAATCATGGTCCTTGTAGATTGGATCATCCCTATAATATAGAAAGAATCATCATGCATGCATGCTTGAAATCCGTATTACGCAAGGAGACATTGGTTTTGCTAATTCAAATTAAAGGGCGATTAAAACTCGGTCGTCAAATTCAGGCATCATATCTATGGTTTGTCTTGGTTTGCAGTTCCAACTCCATATCAAGGATATCTCCACTAGCATCAATATCATCAACTATTGATGTCAGAATACCCTTTTGATTGGTATGAAAGCTCTGGAAAGACAGATTGCTCGTCTTTTCTTTTATCCCAGGGGAAATACGATCGGAAGAGGCTAATTCGGAACCCTCGGGTAAAATAAGAACAGTCCCTATATTCAAATCCCCTTTTTTACCATTAGCAAGAACTTGTTTCAGTTGGATATCATAAGGAAAATAAGCTGCAGGGCTTCAATATCTCCCTGCCATCATAATTTAAAGAGAGGAATGGCCTATTCCTCCACATCTCATGGTTTCATACCTACAGAGGTTGCATCCAAAACTAATACGGGTTTCTGTGCAGCTATTTTACAAATAAACTCTCATGAGTTTATTGGTGATGCAATTCCATTTTCTTGGCAGGAACGAGTTACAATAGAATACATCTTGTTTATCTCGAGAAGATGAGTAGCTATCCCCATGCCAAAAATATCATTAGCTTTTCCATGGCTTCCCATGTTACCATTCACAAATATCTTTTTAGTGCCCAAAATTGCCATCATTTTCTAATAACAATTGAAATGATGCCATCAAAACAACTTATTTCTGGTCTGAAAAAAATTACTTTCCTAATATTTTAGTTTTGGAAGCAGAAAGTTACCAACGCACGGCTAACTGAATTTTCAAAGTTCTCATAGTCTCTCCAGTGTTGCTCAACATGATGGGTAGGAGTCACAATAGCTTTTTGGTATACTTTCCGTACAGCAATCATCCTTTGTGACTCTTCTTGTGCAGTTTGAGCCTGCACCATTATTTTGTAACGGTTAAGACAAATAATGAGTAAAGAATAGAATTTGCTTATGTGTGTAAACAAGGAATAGCTTACTAACAGGTAAAGATTTTAAGAAGTTAATATATTCAGTCCACACAGGCCCAGAAGCAATGTCAGATCCTGCTCGTGAAGAGACAATAAACAAAAAATCAGCAGAAAGCCAATTCAAGAGTAACTTAATATTTTATTAATTATCATGTGATCATTTTTTAGTCTATTCACTAATGCAAAAAAACTCAATTCTTATCACTTAATGTTGTTCAAGAAAGAACGGTACATTTTTAACATATTTTATCATCACTCATAGATAATGGATTACCTCTCCATATGGCAAGTTTGTTTCCCCATTAGGTAGATCGTTCCAACAATAATGATAGTTTTTACTATTTAGGTGATATTGCTTACCATGTAAAGGGTGCAAGAAATAATAAGTTGCCACAAAGATCAAATTCTTAATGTTTACAAACTAATAAGATATTTCTGGATTGAAATATGAATTTCTATTGTTGTGGAATGTGTTAAGTTAATTTTTCATCCATTGCTTAAACGTCTATTTTAAAGAGGTTAATAGAACCATAAAAATGCTGTTATGAAAGAAAATATATCTACTTAGTTGCCATAATAAAACAATATAGTCATCCCAAAGGACAAGGAAAGAAAACAAACCAACATAACCCAGCATAAAATCAAAAGCTTTCCTGGTCTCCTCCTGACCCTCTAACCCCTTCTTCTCATTGGCTTTCCTGATAAAATTAATATAGCATCGCCTACAGGATACATAATTGTAATATAATCAGAAATCCCATATTAGCAACATTGACTGATAAAAGGTCAACCAAGAAGTGCATTGACACCTTGTTTATTAGCAGGACAAATTAAGATAAAGTCAAAGTCAGGGTGAGAGCAATATATTTAATATTACAAGCTAAGACCACAGAGGACAGATGTGGCATGTCAAATTATAATCCGATGTATGACCAATCTGCAAGCAATATCTATATGCATATATTGCACCTATCAAGTTGGAGATTAGACGGATTTGAAAATCAAAGCATAGTAGCACTTGCTTACACAAGATAATCCTACCATGAGTAGACTACGAAATCGTTGCACACAACAGTACACAGCTGAGTACGAGCTTTTTTTTGTTAACTGTGAGTGTCCGGGCCAGCTTGCACGCACCTCGACTAATCCCAGGGACCCTGGAGAACAGTCAAGAAAATCCCTAGTGGCCTTGCAGGACTCGAACCGGAGACCTCTAAGGAAAATCCCCAAAGGCCCAAGCCTTATTGCCAGTTGAGCTAACCCCACAAGGTTAGTAGGGACCACATTGGTGGAGTTAGACTCTAACAAGTTCTTAGCACAAAAAATGGAGGTAATGTTAAGTTCCTTGGATACCATTGAGATATAATGATAAAAATTAAAGGCAATGTGGAAAAGGCAGGTAATTAAAGAAGGGGAATTTTGGAATTGAAAAGCTTCACATTCTGCCTATTTTAATAACCTACATAGACGAAAGTTACGAGGCTTTGGTCTGGTAAATGTCACATTGAATCTCCATCTTGAATCCAAAAAATATAATTCAAAACGGTGGTGGATGGTACTCCATTATGTTGGGACACCATGGTGCAAAGTCATGAATGCTCACAGACTCACAATTCCATGAGAATGAAGCTAGAAGAATAAAATAACAAAAGCACCATTCCTCAAATTATAGCGACACTTTTGTAGCTAGTAGCATATAATATGATTTTCTTATTATGCAGTTGAAAAACAGAGGTTGTAATTTTAAGAATAATCCATGAACATGGTTGTAGACAGATTGGCCTTGATGGTTGTATCCACTGGTCCACAGCCTAAAACTTTCAGTAATCCGTATTCTCTAAACTCATACTTGTATCTTCAGAACCTTTTGTCTCCTATGTAGAGAAGAGAGACCGAGTACAACATATACAAACTTCATGGTCTCAGTTAAGTGTTTGCCTCAGTTTTGGGCTCACTCAATACTCACTGGGCATCACCAGCACCCGAAATTCTACATGTCAATGGCTTGCAGCCAAAAATTATCCCAAAAAAGTCTTAGGGGGTGTTTGGTTAGAGGTATTAAGCAGTAATCAATGGGAATGAAAATAGAAGTTGTTGTTTGTTTGTATATAATATAATGGGCTCATTCCCCCATAAGCCCAAATTTTCATTCTAGGTTAAACTGGGGGAATGGAAATTCATTCTCACTTTCATTCCCTGTCATTTTCAAGTTCATCCCCATTTTCATTCCTTTGCCTGAACCAAACACCCCCTTAGTGTTCTAACTGTATCAAGAGGCCATTAAAGAAAAATACTGCATACACAGAAGGTGTTTGAGCTGTGACATTGCACCACACTAAACATTAAAAATCACAAGACTAGTTAA